CCACACATTTTTGCTTCACTGTGCCAACCACATGCCACACGCATAAGCAACTTGGTTCTTTTTGGCCCTGCCACTCCTTCCAGAGGGGAAAAAAACACTCAGACCTTTGATCTAGCAATGGCATGCATAACGTCATGTGAAATTAATGCTGCCTTTTTGGAATTCACCTAAAAGTTAAATCCTGAAACATTAAATCCAAATTACTTTTCTGGTGTTTTTTATAGTCTGAAAAATCCAAGACAATCCTGGGACAACTTGAAACGCATGCAATGCATAGTTTCCCTGTGGTCACCACCTGTTTCACAACAGTTTCAGAAATGGCTCCAGTGTAAGCAGAACAGACAAGGGATCTATAAGCTGCTACTTGTACATCACTGCCTCAAACGGATGCATATGATCACAAAAAACTTCTGCAGTGATTTGCTATTGAAAACAGAACACAAGTAAGACTGTATTGGCTGCATGTTTGCCATTTGTTGACATCGAAACAAACGGACCGAAGTGGGAGGTGCAGACTTGACATTGATCTGTTGATACAAAATGTAAATCAAATGTGTAAGTGATTCATTTTGTTTATCAAGTCAACCACATGCTTAATGATGTAATAGCGCAATTAAATTGAAATAATGTAAGACAAATAAAATGACATTGGTAACTATGTGCACCTATTACCTAAAGACAGTACAGGAAACACGAGGCTATTCTTCATTTAGGATAATGATATTCCATCGTAATGTAAGCCCCTACGCTATATTACTACGTGCAATTTCCCATAACGTCCTAAAAAACGGGCCAAATACGGTGCTTTGATGAAGACCGGTAGCAGTGCAGAGAATTCTGCCCTGCAATCAGTAGTAAACAGCTTGTAAGCTAAATATGGCATTTAGTAAGCTGGTATTTGCAAACATTTGTGTTAGCAAACATTGCTGAATTGAGCAAAGTGTCTAGCTACTTCAGCAAGGTGATCAAACTTATTGCTTCTGTGAGTGATTCGGATTTGCACTTTGAGTATCTTAAATGAAAATACTGTTACGTAAGTATCAGTTCCATTTTAGACCTTCACATTTGGTTCCTAATTCCTTGTTTGGGGGAAAATTTCATTCTGTTCTGTTGGTTCAGCTCCTGTTGCTCACACCTCTCACTTATGAGCCTTAGCATTTCACTTTACCAAAAGGATCCTAAGACAAGAAAAATAGCTCCTAGCAAACCTCAGTTGTTATGCTGATAGATACTGAAAGCACTCTGTATCAAAGTTACAGAAAACTCAGTATTCGAGCAGTTTTCAGACCTGCTAAGTTCATATCAACTTTAGTTCTACTTGAGTCACACTTGAATTACTCCATCGATTACAACGACAACCTGTGCAAACATGTTAAACAAAAATGTATTATGCACTGTGAGCATGTGTTCATTTCTGTTTGATGAAGAGAACATAAGACATTAAATCAGGATGATATCTGAAGATCATATTCAGAGTTAGCGATGACTAGTTTTACCTGATACTGTCTTCAGAACGTTATGCACCTTTGTTATGACTCTAAAGCTCTTTAGTAACGGAGGAGTTTCTGAGCCGTATTTTTTAAACTCAAGCTAAAGTTTGGTAGACATTTTTACTGCTAGTTGAGTCAAATTTTCACTTAAGTAACAAGACATTCACTTGAGTTTGGTTATAGGGTCCTCCAGCCACCTCCAGCTCTCTGCTCTGAGGGCAACATGAAAGAGACCTGAAGTTGATCTGGATGCTACCATTTACATAACTTTCTCAGTAATAAACAGTTTGTAAGCTAAATATAGCACTTTGTAAGCCTTTAATTGCAAACAGATGTGTTAATAAACTTTGCTAACTTGAGCAAAGTGTCTAACTACCTCAGCAAGATGATCAGTGCTTTGGTGGGTGTTTCGATGAATCAAGGTGGTCATGTAATCCAACAAAAGTACGATTTTCGATTTTGGGTAAAACTGTTACGTTGGCCAATCTTTAACCATGCCACGCTGCTGACTGACTAATGTATTATAAATATATTCCAAGCTGTACTATATATTATGTTGGAACAGAATATCGAAATTGGTATTTTGGCCATATCCTGCAGCCTTTGTAGCTGGAAAGTGAACAAACATGGCTGCACACTAATTTACAGCAACTTACAGAATGTACAGTGAATTCCTCTCAAAATGACTTAGAATAACAAAAACTTCTGATCAGTCTACTGTTTCTTGCTGTCTTACTTTCTCTTTCAGTCTGTCTGACCCCTGCTTCCTTCACACTCCTGATCTTAATTACTGTCCTGTAGGAATGTGTGGAATTTGGCTTATTCAGTGGACCATCCGTAGGTCTCTGTTTTGCTGCAACAGCTCTGTTTTGCTTGTATTCCCTCCCTCGCACTAGCTGGAATCTCACAAATTTCAAATTTCTCCTTGTTCTGCTCCCGCTTTCAGGTGTTTAGTCTAGAGTTGCTTTTCCCAGCTGTAACTGTGGCTCTGGGGCTGAAGCCTGCTACATATGGTGGGGTTCAGAGTCCAGTCAGAGCCTGGGGCTTATAGAAATTCCTGCTGGAGATCCCCAAGCCCTCTAGGAGCTCAACTAAAAGGTTCCTGTCAGCTCAAGGGTTCACATGGCCAAGTCAACAGTCCTGCTAGACAACAGGAAAAGACTATTTTTTCTTTTAAAAGGTTACAGGCTGCTCCAGAGCAGATGGCACATTATGCAGTAAGCCATACTGGGCTACAGGCTGGGTCTGTAGGAGGTAAAAACATAACCTGCACTTACTCTGATCCATTCTGGAAAAAATGGGATAGACACCAGCAGGGGCAAATAGCACAATCAAACATGCAGATGCAATCTTGAGCTTTCACTTTGGTTTGCACAACTGATTCAGTGTGGTGTTGACCAGTTTGTGCATATGGGGGTCACCAGTGAGCCAGCTCAGAAATCAAGCCTTTCCATCAAAACCTCAAAGCAGTCTTTTAATTCAGTTATGCATAGGGTTGAAAGATTAATTGTTCTTATACTGACAGCAACAACTTGCAAGAGCTGCAATTTCCTAAAAATTATAGTCTACATTATCAAAAACGTTATGTTTTAAGTGGGGAAATTTAATCTTATAACACAGAACTTGTGAACTGCCTGTAGATAAGTTAGACCAATCAGTGGCAACCAAACCTTCATGTGTGACATCACAACCACAACTTACTGGCAGTCTTGCACACGACATTCAGGGATCAAGGCTCAAGCCAGAAAACATGGATATTCTGGCCAAAAAAGCAGGCCTGAACCTTAATTTATAGAAAATAATCACAATTCAAATCATAGTTGCAATATTAGTCAGAAAAAATGCAATTAGATATTTTCCCCCCAAATCGTTCAGCCCTAGTTACACCTGTTATTTACTTTCCACTAATACTGTCCTCCCTATGTTGTGTTTTGACTACTGTGAGCCTTAACCTAAAGTTAGCTTAGTTCGAGAAAAGTGTTGTACAACTGTACAATCATTATTATGATCATCATTATTACTAGTAGTAGTGGTGTTGGTGTTATCAACCTACTGCCAACCTTATCAACATAATGTCTATCTTAAAAACTTCAACCACTGGTGCGGTTTCGTCTTTGAGTTCCTTTGATTCTTGTGTCAGCAACTACACTGTTCTTGCACTCCCATCAGAGCACACCGATTGACCAAGCTAAAAATCGCCAAAGAAACAGCATGTTTTTTAGCACTGCAGCATTTTTCCCCTCCAGCACAGATAAGCATCTGCTTGTGTGCGGTCCAGCTGTGGTACAAGTCTAATGGTCCTGTTAAGAAATTGAACCATAAACACACCTGCTGACAGTGGATACTAAGAGGTTCGCACTAGGGCAATGCAGCAGGGTGAATGCGATAGCAGAACAGAGTCATTCTCATGGGTGTTCTCAAAATACCAGCAGCAATGTATGTTAATGTGGGTTAAATCTGACAAACATACATACATGGACACGTAATCTAACGATGCTAGTAGCTACACTATTTAAAGCATCCTGCACTTCAGACCAGTCGTTCATTTCCCTTTTTTATTACAACACTAGTCATTCGATTGACTAAGCACAATAAAAACCATACAAGGCCAGCATACAAGTTTATGTAACCATATTTGTGTTGTGTTTAGTAGAAGCTACCGGACATCCTGCGAAGTAGGCTAAAATATGGAAATGACGGAGTGATGGATTTGTACTTTTCGGAGTATTGTAAATGTTAATACTGTTACGTAAGTGTCAGATCCATTTTAGGTCTTGACATTTAGTTCCTAATTCCTTTTTTGGGGGATGATTTCACTGTGCTGTTGGTTCAGCTCCTGTTGCTCACGCCTCTCACTTTGGCACTTTAGTATTTCACTTTAGCAAAACGTAAAAGGAAAAGTAGCTCCTAGCAACCTCAGTTCATATGGTAATAGATACTAAATGTACTAAGAATTTCCATCAAGAACACAGAAAACTCAGTATTTGAATAGTTTTTGGACCTGAGAAGTTCATCTCAGCTTTAGTTCTGCTTGAGTCTTTGTTGAGTTACTTCAGTTCTCCCGTCGATCAGAACGACAACCTGTCCAAACATGTTATACAGAAACGTATTAAGCACTATGTGCATGTGTTCATTTCTATTCGACAAGGAGACCAAAGGACATTAAATCAGAATCATATCTGTGTATCTCATTCAAAGTTAGCGATGACTAGAGTTTGACTAGTTTTACCTGATAATGTCCTCAGCACGGTATGCAGCTTTGTTATGACCTTACAGCTCTTTAGTAACGGAGGAGTTTCTGGGCTGTATTTTAAACTCAAGCTGGATTTGGTAGATATTTTTACTGCTAGTTGGGTCAATCTTTTACTGAAGTAACAAAATATTTATTTGATTTTAGCTGTAGGCTCCTCTGGCCACCTCTGGCTGTAGTGAAGGAGCTCTCTGCTCTGAGGGCAACATGAGAGAGACCTGAAGTTGATTTGGACGCTGCCATTTATATAACTTGCTCACCTGAATTGGCAGTGCAGTGTTCCCTCCTTGGCTTTTTGCCTTGAGCTTCTCAAAAAAAGTATCAAGAACTGGAAACTGCCTTAGTTCAGCAATGCTGTCCCCAGAAATCCAGCTTCTCTGCACCTGGAGTAAAGTAGGCAAAGCGACTGGGCCATCGCTAAAATGCTGCCCGGGGCTTGGGCCCCTGGGGGCAGCCACTTAGGCCCAAAGCGTCCCGCACCACCATGGAGAGAGATTAAGTCCAAAAAAAGAAAGCAGAAGTGGACAGTTGTGGTCTTTCCTAGAGGCCCACTGTCATTTCATGATGTGACAGTAAAGGAAGCTTCTCCAGCTACACGCGCTAGGTCCAGCACTTTGATGAAGCACGGAAGCCGCCGTCGTCTTCTCATTGTAGCTGTGCACAAACTGAAAACAAAAATAAACGAATTATTACCGAAAGAGCATCTGTTTCTAAGGGTGTAGCAATATTAGAGCATTGAAAATCAGAAAAATGTAAACAGTTGACATAGTGGAAAAATGGAAATTTAACACTATCACCCTCACTCTTGTCTCTCATTTACTGTCTTTCATAGAATTCACAGTCAATGATCAAAACTAGCATATAGGTGCATCTGTTTTTATACTGTTTATAGCTCAGTTAACTTAACTGATGGATAAGATCACCATTTTTGTCTGGGATAGTCCAATATGTTTAGTGCATAATTAGAGCTCTTGCTTAAAGACATTTTTACCCCATAAAATACTGAAATCAAATTTTCAATCAAATCAAATCAAAACCGAAAACTGCATCAAATCACAACACAGATATACTGTAACAGCCCTGTCTATCTCAGGCCTTCCTACCTTTTTTAACTTCATTTTCCTGGGATTCTGTTCCCTATACATCCCATACTTATGTCGCTACTAAGTCAAAAAACCCTTTATGGGATTTCCATGACTATTTTTATGTTTCAGCATCTAGGTAGGTAAACTGTTGTGCATCCTGCTTCTCTCACTGGATGATTACAGGATTCAAATTTGTGTCCTCCTGAAAACCAAGAAGCCAGAGGTGGGTAATAACTAGCTCCACCTACTCAGTTATCTTCATGGCTCAAAGATGAATATAAAAGAGTGCAATTTTCACATCACAGTTGTTTTAACAATTTTAAGTTGAGAATTGTGACCTAATAAAATAGAGCCTGTAAACTTGCAGTCTTGCAGTCTGGCACACTACATCCACTGCTCAAAACTCAGGCCTGAAAAAAATGGATACGCCAGTCCTCTTGGCAAAAAAAGGCCTGAGGCTTAATTTCAAGAAAAACAATCACAATCACAATACTGCTCACAAAAATCACAATTAGATATTTTCCACAAGCCTTTCAACTTCAGTTACATGTATTCTAGTGCAATTCTGATTTACTTCCACTTTCCTGAACATTTTCAAATGACAATACTTTTAATTTCTATTCAAGTACATCTGTGAGGAAAGGGATCTTTTTACTCGATTACATTATAAATATTTTATTTTCAAGATTTTAAACATAAGATGTTTAAAGCAACAAAGAAATCATGAGTGGACAGATAGGAATAAATAAATACATTAAAAAATGGAGAGCAGTTTGTCTACAGTCCAGAAGTGTTGAAAAAGAAATATTCAGTAATTGCAGGGTCAGACGAGGGCTGGCACCAATCTAAGCCTCCTTCAAAGAATCCATGAAGGATCCCCATGTGACCCAAAAAATATTTTTGTGATTTTGATATACGATACAGCAGATGTTCCATTTGTATCATACAAACATCTCTTTTAACCATCTGTTGAAGCATTGTGCATCTGGTGCTTTCCACATCAAAAGAACAGCTTTTTAGCTATGATTATGGCAAAGCCTGATGTTGTGTATCGGGAAAGGAAGTGATTGTGTCTGAGCATCCGAAAATTGCTGAGATCAGGAGAGATATCTTTCTTGAACATTTTTGAAAAACACTGGAAAACTTTAACCCAACAATCATGTATCACAGGGCAGAACCAGAATAGGTGTGATAGAGAGCCCTCAGAAACATGACACCTATCGCCTTGTGGGAAAACCACTTTTAATAACTAACATTTACTGTGTTTGATTTCATGCTGATCTGTTGGTTCAGCTCCTGCACTGCTTGGTGACTGCTCACATCTCAAACTTGTGAGATTTTTCATTTTATTCTACGCCAAAAGCATCTCAAAAAGAAGAACAGCAGAGCTTCAGTTCCTGTGCTGACAGATGCTGGACCTACTAAGAAGCTCCACTGCAGTTTAGAAGTTACTCAGTACTTTTTTTACCTGGTAGTTTTGTACTTCTACTTTTTTCTTTTGCAAATGTACTTTTACTTGAGTCATTATTTCATCAGTTCTTCCCAAGTGTGAGTTTAAACGTCTGTTCACACCTCTGAAAACAGCGCGAAGCTGAAGCCAGCTTGTTCGAATTTTCCCGTTCCACCTTAAATGGTGCAGCAGGTACATTGTAGCGCCTATACCTGCTGCACCGTTTAAGGTGGAACGGGAAAATTCGAACAACAAGCTGGCTTCAGCCTCGTAAAACAGCTGTCCCAGACGGACTGTAGTTAGCTAAAGGAGACCAGGGGCACCAATACAGGGTCTCCATTTTTGACAAAAGTTGTTTTATTTGCAGAAAACGAAAAACAAGACGTCAAGTAATGTCAGCAAAGTTAACTACATACCTCACATTTAGGTCCGCTGCTGCTAAATCTCTCACTCTTCAACTTTCAAACTGTATATTGTGCAGAAAAGTGTTGATAGCAGAAGGCATGCCGTTACATCCCGCATGTAGTAAACAGGAATCAGCAATGAATCACGAAGCCAACGGCTGATGCTGCAGCTTTTGTGTAAAAATCCATTTGAAACTGAACCTCAGTTAGAGAGGAGGGGAGGGAAAGGGAGACGAAGCGATTTCCGTGAGTCTGATGGCTTCTTTTCCTGCTAAGTTTGCAGATTTTTGCTCCCTTGCTCCGTCCGTTAGGGCCAGTTCACTTCAGCAGGAATTCTGTCCTCTTTTTCCTCAGTTACACAGAGAAAAGTCCGTTAGCTCCGATCCTGTAGGCTGACGAAGTAACGTCAACAACAAAAAAACCGTTACGGAAAACTTAACACATCGCGACTAGAAGCTCTATAACTGTTATTTTTGGGTGATAAATGATGATAACTTTGCTCGTATGCAGGTGCAAAAATAGCTTAAGTCTTTATAAGTGCTAAAAAGGAATAAATGACCGGAAAACGTCCACCTTTTCGTTGTTTTTTGACAAAATGAGTTAACCCACGTAGCCGCATCCAACGGCTAATGTTAGTTGAAGCTCGATTAGCCAAATCTCCTTTCCGTTGCTGTGTGGCGGTGGCTTTACACGGCAAAAAACTCAGAAAAGCAACACAAAATGCGTCTTTCTCAGGCTACACAACCTTCTGTTGCACAAAAACAACTATTTTAACCTTAAGGCCCGCGAATATTACGTGTTTTTAAGGCACCAAAGCCTGAAACTGAATCTTTAACGCTGCGAGTTTCCTGACAGAAAAAGAGCGATTCGTCACCGGAACCCAAATGTTTGCTTCCTTCAAAAAACGACAGAAAAGTTTAAAGAAAATCCCGACGAAAATGTACATTAGAGTTGTCCAGTGCGTTTAGTAGTCGGCATTAGGCAGATTGACACCGCATACTCTCCACTAACATCCATTTCATGCATCTTAAGTAGCACTAATGTCGTTACTACCTATGTTCGACTCGTTAACGAACCGGTTCTTTTGACCGATCCGGTGCACAAGTTTCAAATGAATCGAATGGTTGGCTGAAGACCTCCAAAGAGTGAAATTATAATGTCACAAAATATAACCAGAATAAAAAACACGTTCAAACGTAACGTCACTGAAGTTTGTTAAATCTGCGTCCCAGCCATTCGCTCAGAGATCGGTAAATGGGAAAGTTGACTCGACTCGTGAATCACTAAATCGTTAAATCTGACGTTCGATTCGTTGTAACGGACTGTTTGCAAGAATCGGTTCCCTAAACTGAATCAAGCTTCTCATCACTAGTGTTTACTGTACGTAAACGGCGCACGCAGCTCAAGCTTGAGGATATCTTTTTTATCTGCTTTGGTTTTTTTGTCGTTTTTTGTTTGTATTATCATAAACACATAACACCTTCCACCTCACAAAGTAAACCTACTAGTATTCATCTGCTTTATTTACTTATAGATAAATGAGCAATGTACACAGTAGTAATGTCTCTATGACTAAATCGATTTATAATGGACAGTAAATTGACACCACCATGAGTAAATGTTGGCAAGTGCAAGGTTTGTTTTACGTCCAGTCTGGATCAATATAAAGCCATTTCATGCGTAAACGGTTCTTGGCATCATGAAATCGCTCTTCAGATTGATGGAAAATGTACTGTAAATATCTTTTTTTATTTTTAGTTCTATATCTTAAATTGAGGCTTGACATTATAATAATAGAAGAACCCCTTTTGGGTGCTATATATAACCATCTATAGCACATCCATGCAGATTTTCCAAAATATAGCTGTTTTGCTGTTTAGTTTCCATATATGGACAGTACTGACTGGAGGGTAGTGTGTTTACATACTACACTAAATACTTCAATTTAAAAAGTGAGGAAGATTTGGTTTTCCATGATATCACTGCTGTTGGAAACAAAACCTCGTATCTCGAAAATGGTAACTTTACAGGAGAAGGAAAAAACATACTTTACTTCTAATGTAAGTCAATGGAACCAGGCTTTTCTCCTAGTCTGTTTAATTGTTTGCATCTGGCGCCGTTTAAGCTGTTAGTTTTGTTGTTTATTTGTTTATGTATTTATTTTTGAAGTAACCAGAGGTCAGGCAGGATTTGGTAGGCCTACGTTCTGACACTTAATTGAAAAGTGCACAGCGCCCCTCACCGGTCAAGCATAATTAATGCACCAACAGACAAGAAGTGTTCTGAATCATCCAGGTTTCCTTCTGACCACAGAATAAGTGAAACATTGTTTAATCATGCTTAAATGAACAAACTTCTTTGAATTCCCAGGCTTATTGCATTGCCAAGGCCTATTATTGATGTTTTTCATTTACTGTGAGGAACAGAATTCTGGACCTGGCCAATTAAAGGGCAATTCTGTCCATTTTTCAAAAACAACGTAAACAAAGTTACTGGTTTGATGTGAAATGTGGTCTAAGCTTTATTTGTGATTTGTGAGGTTTTTGTTTTTTTTACATTCAGGGCATCGTAAGTCAAAATGGCCACTAATTTACCATCATTGACACTAGATATAAAAACTCAGGACACACATGAAGGTTCACTGGTTCTGGCACTGTAGGTGTCATGACCCCTGGTTCCTATCACCACCACTGTAAAGAAAGCGCAAGTTGTAAGTTAGCACATTTCAAACTCAGAACCCACTGAATTTAAAACCTCTGATTTATGCAGACATTTTTGAAAATTTGGTGGAATTCCCCTTTAAACATACTTCATATGTCTTTTTCTGAACTTTTTTTTTCCCTGAAAAATCTTAGACAAAATACTACATGGAGTCAGGGACAGATCATGGGCTCATGAGGGACCTCCTACTCTCACACTCGGTCAACACCACCAAAAACAATGCAAAATAAAACATCTGACAAATAACTTTACTGAGTAGCTTGAGTTTGTTTACGTGTGCTTAGAATAATCCTGATTTTGCAGTAGCCTATTAATGGCCTGCCCTTTTTTGGTGTTATCTGGGCTTTCAGTAATTTCAAATATAGATGCAGCCTATAGGCTGAGGGACCTTTTGTTTCCTTTATTTAGCCATTACATATTCAAGTGCTATTTATTCATCTGGGTTCTGCGTCTGCAGTGGACTGCCCCCAGCTTTTGAGCTGCCTCAGGCCTTGTGGTCAGAGGCCCTACTGGCCCTGGTCAGTAATCCATCCCTGCACAAAACAGTGACAAACCAAAGTGTGTATGGGGAACACCAACTGACCAGGGTTAGTATTAAAACAAGTGTCAGAAACTGGATTTAAAGGGCCAATAATACATTTCTCATCTACTCTGTTCTGTTTGGCTGCCCTGTATTGTGCCTTAAAAAGCAGACCAGGCTGAGACACTCATAACTTCAGCATGAATGGGTGGAGCTAAACTGCCGTAAGCTGAATAGGCAGATACAAGAAAATGCATTTAATTTTGTGACGTCATAAAAACAATTCATTCAAAACAAAACCTTGTATCTCTAAAATAAGAACTTTACAGGAGAAGGAAAAATATCCTTCACTTTTAATGTAAGTCAATGGAACCAGATGTTTTTCCAAGTCATTTTAGGCTGTTTCTTTTGGTCCATTCGTCTTGAAATTTACACACAATGTAAAGAGCAACAGGTGTTTTCAAATTATGTCAAAAACTGAAAAACGACAAAAACGGAGATACGAGCTTCTGTTCCGACAGCAGTGATATGAGCCCTTTAATGCTGTTAAAAGATCACATGAACAAATCAACACCAGCAAGTTCTTTATTTCTTTTCTCCAAAAGCGTGTACAAAAATGAAAAATAAAAAAAGGAAGAAAGTGAACACACAAGACCACGGGAGGGGGGAGAGAGAGAGAGAGAGAGAGGAAAAAAACAAAACAACAAAGGAAGAGACGAGTATCACATTTTGGTTCTCAGAGTTGCTGCTGAGGAGGGGAGCTCAAAGAAACAGATTAAAAACGAAAGAAAGAGTAAAAATAAAGCGCCACCTTAAAAAGCCAAAACGTCCTGCTGTTTTAAGGCCACCAGATTCACTCCACTGATCAAGTTTTGACAGAGAATAATCCACTTGGTTTAAACACTCACACATCTCTCTCCGCTCACTCAGCCCAAACTGACTGACATTTAAAAATAAACAGCTTTTCAGTCCTACCTTAAATAATCCACACAGCTACTGAACATCCACATACAGACGCATCACAACTACGTTCAAGTGAAAGACGACACGTTTGTACCTTTTTTTTTCCCTCAATTCTGTTCTTTGTTCACAAAAAAAAAACCTGACACTATGATATGGTGCAGTTTGGTACCTCGGCCCGCACATCTGAGCGTCCATGTAAACACAGTGATTTGTGCCTGCGGAAAAAACACGCTGTGTTCTCAAATCAAAGTGAGCAGATAGACCAAAACATTAAATTCAGGGGAGGAAAAAAGATGCAGATATAAATCTGAACAGTCTAAGAAGCAGAAGTCAAGAGGTTATTGGGTAAAAAGTAAACCCAAACTGTGCAGTCTCTCGTTCAAGGACTTGAAATGGATACGCATCGTTATTATTATCATCATCATTATTATTATCATCATTATTATTATTATTATTATTAAAGAATTTTCAAATGAAGGCTTAGTAAGAAAATATTGTTCTGGCTCATATTAGGAGCTTCTGTAAATTCTAAACCTCACAGCGCATTTTTCAAATTCACAGTAATCTTAAACAACATGTAAGACAAAAAGGGCTTCTGTGGCATTTAAGAAAAAGAAAGAAAAAAAAAGAAAAAAAAAAAGACATTAGTTCCATCTTTGAAATGGCTTTCAAAGTACATCTAAAGTTGAGAAATTCACTGAACTCTGAGTGGGCAAACACTGACAGTGAGACAAAACGTGTACAGCAACTGAAAGTCAAAGCTTCACTCTTGTTCCTGAAAGTTCATTGTGTACCTTCTCCTACCACCAGATGGAGCTCTAATCTAATCACAAACTGGTGCCCCAATGCCCCTGAATGTGCATTCGGCTTCCCCATTTCAGCCACTTCAGCACTAAAGACATCAGTTCTGAAGATAATATATTGCAAAACATGCTGCACTGCACACTACAGAATGGAACGGCCATATTATTAAACCAATGAGGCATTTAAAATGATTAAAATGACTAAAAACAAAGTTACAGGACTTGCGATATCATAGTTGCATCCATGAACTCGTCACAGGCTTGGATACTTGGCCAGACTGACAGCGACAGCAAGTACATCACAGATTTACACTCACAGCAAACTATGGAAGGCAGCTTTAGCTTTTAATCCATCGTTTGTGAAAGCAGAAATTTATTTTGAATGTTATTACAAGAAAAAACATGAAATCTGACATGCAAAAATCAAATTCTAAATGTCAAAATTTAGCTTTTACAACTGGAATTACATTTTAGCATGTAAGAGTTTTATTTCTCACTAGTGATTCATGACCAATTCTATGCAGACTGAAATCTTACAAGTACAAAAACAATGTTTAATTGTTATATGTAAGAACTACATTTTAAAATTTGGAGGGGAATTTCAAGATCTTTCAAAATTTCTGCATAATTAAATGGTTGAGATGTAAACAAAGTCATTCAGAGTGGTTTTGTTGTGCTCAGTTCTAGAGAAACTTCAGAACAAATTGTTCACACTGGTGGTGACAGGAACCAGACATCTGAAGAGTTTAATGCATCTAAAGGCTCCATCACAGAAAGGTAATATTTATACAGGAAATTTTGTGCCCGACGCCGGAGACAGTTTTTAATCCATTCATGGCACATGCAGTGTGTTATGAACCAAAATAGTCCCCAGAGAAAACCTCAGCACTATTTCACCATCATCAGCATTACATATAATCACTCAGCAGACACGTGTAGGTTCACTAGTGGTTTTGGATAGTAAATGAATGGCTATATTTGTGCTGTAGACACTGTGACCCCTGGTTCCCATCACCACCACTGTAAAGAAACACTATACCATCTGAATGATTAAAGTATGCAGAAAACATGAAAAATCAGCAGCACTTCTCTTTAAATCAACTAGATATATGTAATATTTAAAATGTCATTATTGCGAACTAAATTTCACTCAGTTATCATATATTAACATTTAAACCTCAGTAGTGAAAATGAAAGCCGTTCCACTGAAGCTGATCCCCGGCCCTCAGTTCCCCATCCTGGGATTAAAGGGAATTGAGAAAAGCAATGATTTCCTATCGGTGAGAACTACGGAAAAATAATTTTGCACATCACATTTCATTCACTGACTAGTATTAACATTTTTTTTTTACTTTGGATTAAAAGCTACAACAGCTTGCCATACTGTATAGTACCCACTGAGAAAAGTAGAGTGGACCAACGCTAAAGGACAGCAGTCTTGCAGGACAGAGGTTAAAATGAGTGAGAACACCACACAGCCTGAGCATTACGGCTCGTTCTTATTCCTGAGCTAATGGCTAAGGGCCCAACTGAGCCCTGTTCACACAGACAGAAACAGAGCAGCTCACAGGAAGCGGGCGTAACGACGTGTGACAACAGGAAGTGGTTTTGGAGGGGGGGGATTGGAGATGGCGTGACACTGCGATGTCGGGCTCCTGCGAGACCAAATTAATTCCCTGTGACTATTTCGAGGCCTCTCTTTTGAGCAACATTGGTCCCATGCAAGTATATAAGGACAATCTGGACACTACAGTACATTCAAATATGCATCAACTTTGTTCCTGTACTGATTTTGCACAAATGGAGCTTCAGAAAAGCAACAAAAGAAAAGACCAAGAGCTTAAGGGACATGCAGTTGAGACACATTTCAGTCAGATGACCAAACAACCATTCAGTAAAAAAAGAAGAGCATTAAAAACAGGGCAAGAGACAGATTGCCTGCCAGAACACCAGGGGGCAGCAGAGAGAAATGCTTAAAAATGTTAAAACAGATGCCCACCTTTGTGCGTCAACCACAACTGACCCTGGAATAAATAGTAAAGATGGCCTACCGACCTCTGGGCTCAAATATTAAAACATCATTGCAGCCAGCTTCTTAAAACACACCACACTGAAAGAAATGGAAGAGAAAACTGCTCCAAAAACGCTGACAGCAAGTGCTATTGTGAACGGACTGATATGATTCCACAGAGAGGATCCTTTAAGACTTTCGCGATGCTTTTAAACCTCTCTGAGCTGTCAACAGAAAAGATACAGAGGAAAGGAGTGAAGAAAGATGGAAAAACAGAGAATGTTTTGAGAGACAGTACCATGTACCCTGTAGTTTCAGAGAAATACCCTGCTAACAAAACAAAAAGACAGACACTTAAATCTTCCCATTTCAACCCAGGCCCTGCGGTTCATGTTTTGTTTGTTTGTTTTTTTTGAAAAATAAATCTGGAGCTAAACTCATTCTGGTTGTAAAAGACTGAAGAAATATCACGTGACAGCCCAGAGCCTCTACCTGAGTGCACAATCTATGACTTTCTTTGAAGGAAGGGCCTCTCACGTGCCTAACAGCAAGTGAAACAGGAACAACTAAATAAAAATAACAATAAAAAAAAATAATAACAATCGCCCCTGGTCTAAATGAGGGTGAGCTTTTGGTCACAGAGAGCTAATCAATAGCTGTGGATAAAAACCACAAAGACATAAAAAAATAAAAACATATTCTAACGCTAAATAAAATCAAAGTGACAAAAAAATAGCTGAAATATTTTTAAAAATCTAGAGGGAGGTGCCTGCCCTGTCATGTTTGTGGTTTGTGCATGAAAGAGTGAGTAATGAAAATTTGAATGTGTGTGTGTCTAGCAGGGCAGGCAGGTTGTACAAAGGGTCATGAGTATGGGCTATAGACGGACAGCGCTGACGACAGGGGGACGTTAGGCCGTTTTGGTGATGCTCTCCGCGTCTTTGGAAGCCCACAGCTCCTTGTGCTGCTTGCGGCCGAAGCCCTCGTCGTAGTTCCCTTTGCTCTTGAAGAGCTGCTGGAAGTGAGGCTTGCAGTAGAACTCGCCCTGAAGCGCTGCATAGGTGCCCAGGCTGCAGACAGGAGACAAGGGTCAGAACGGCCACTCTATGTACAGTTGCGTGCAGAAGTTTGGTTGCTCCTGATCAAATGACATGCTTGGTTGATTTTCTAATTGAAAATGAGTTAACATGTTCTCTACAGAAAGCACACTTAGCACATTTTAATGCACATTTACTGTTTAATATGCTGAATTTAACATAGTTAGGGTAAACTCCTTTAAAAGTCCTTGCGCTGACTCTTCCACAGATCATGTTTGCGCAAGCAACGCTGCACAGTAGAACAAAAAAAACGAACAGAAAGAATTCCATATGATGATTCTTGACCTGCCTAACCAGTCTTAACAAGTCAAATACAGCCTCGAGAGTTAAGTTCTGAGACCTTACAACAGGATGGGCGTACAAACTTTTGCACATAGCTCAAATATCTTTTTTTTCTCATTTTTAAGTGATTTAAATGTGAAGTAACTTCGTATAACATTTGCAGAAAATGCTGCTTTTTAAAAATTTGTTTGCTGCAGACTTTGTGTTCACTTCAAAATTCAACAAACTGTGCAATTTGGCCAAAAACCTGTGGAATCCCACAGATTTCCAAAATTCCTCCATAATTAATCAAAAAAAAAATATATATATATCAACTTAGAATTGCAAATAAATCCAAGTCAGCAAATTCCTCTGCAATTAACTATTTCACATCAAATTACTCAGTGACTTCACAATGACCGAAACATTTCACCACAACTTTTACCTGGGAATTCATGGGTAATCAGTAAAGGAAAAGGGTTACATATGAGCGCAAACCGCAGACAAAATCCTGGTAAATTTGACCAGGCAGTTTCCCTGCAAGAGACCCGGTACAATATTCATGAAATTACCATAAGGATTTGTGTGAACAGAATTTGATACATTACTGGGGGAAAAACCACAGGAGATTACAGCAGAGATCTGAGCTACATCTAGATTAGGGGTGCATCGATTAATTGACTTAGTCGACAAAAATCGACGACCAAATTAAATAACTTAATAGTCGATTAGATGGCCATGAGTGTTTCTCGCGCTAACTAGGAATGTTTTGACAGTACCACTTACTGGAGAGTTAACCAAAGCACGATGGCAGCCTCACAATCAAAATGTGTGGGAGCATTTCATGCTTAACTCCAAAAAAAGGTTGTCAGTTGTGCTATTTGTGAAGCTGGCCTCAGCTGGCATAGGAGCACATTCTCCATGCTGGAGCATCTGAAGAGGAAACACGTCTGTTGAAATGGAAGGTTTACACCAAATTGTTCACATTTAACAAGTTTGCCACAAACGTTCGGTACTGTTTGCCGAATTTGATCGCGCCTCATGTTTATGGTTGCTCATAGATATACACACAGACGCCACCTTGGGTCCAGCCAGGTGCGTCAACGGCGCCACCATTTTGGGGTGGTCAGCATCGCTGTTGGACTGCATTCAGTACCATTACAGAACAGCAGTTCTGAAAAAGATACTGTCCAAAATTACACTACTTTAAGAATATTGCACTCAGAAAGTTGGACAGGATTGTACAATGGAGGGAACGCAGCGATCCACACTCAGGATTGTGTGATGTATATGTAGATAAGGCCGTGTGGTTGGTCAAGCACAGAGAACCTGTTGGTGTGATTGAGGAAAAACTGATTTAGTTTCGTTTAATTTTATTGCTGCTACTTTGCACATCCTAGGTTTTCAATTTTGTCAGAAAAAAAGATTTTAAAGTTTTATTTATAGTTCATTAAAACAGTGAACTTTTGAAAAAGGTATTCATCTTTACTGTCTTCACTGTTAGGTAGCAACTGCATAAAACAACCTCAAGCTACATCTAAAAGCTGATAGCTACATAATATTTGGTAATTTAGTAATTCATAATTCGAATAATCGATTATGCGTTTCAATAATCTATCGACTGTTACACTTGAGTTTTTTTGAGTTTAGTTTTGAGAGTGAAAACGTGCAAAAACGACGCAGCATGGTCAGAAAAGCTTGTGTTTTTACCCTCGAGTTTTAGTTTTTATAAGAGGAAAAAGGTCACAGGGTGTATTTTTGTACCTGATGCAGAAATTAATAAGCTGTTGGCTATTCACGCTGAGAACGCACCTCCTGTTTACCAGGATTTTCATGGCAAGTACGAACGTGTGCATCCTTTTAAGGGCTACCTTTTAAAGCACGGACAACATCAGTAAAAGTATCCCGCCAATGTCCTGGGTATTCACTGTGAAAACACTCTGCCAAAGTCTGACAGAAGACTATGGAAGAAATGCTAACATTTGTGCTCGGCGTGTTTGAGAGCAGGGTAGAATATGTCAGCGTTGTGTTTCTGTGATGAAACGTGTCTTCATCTAACCTGAGTTTGGTGTTGCAGTGCTTGCAGCAGAAGCATGATGCATGGAAAATAAGGTTGTTGGCTACCAGTCTCTCCATTGGATACACAGTCTTCTCACAGGATGCACAGGTTTCATTCTGCGTCTTAAAACTGAATGACTGCAGAACAGACACACAGAGACCAGACACGATACTGTTGAACCGTTTTGTTCACATCATCAATAATTCAAGTCAACCCCTGTAAGTAATTCAAGGGCAGGTAAGTTAATGCTTGTTAAACTATCGATTTTCAGACCCTTAACAATTTAATGGGTTCAGAAGCTCTGGAGAAGAGGAGGAGGATGAAGAAAGACAAGAGACACAAAAAGACTGAAAGTAATAGATATTAAAAGTGTAAAGATGCACAAAATTCAACATTCAAATATGATATCAAATTTTTCGTTACAGTAAAAACACATGCCTTGTGGTCATATGTTAATGTTTGCACTATGTGCACAAAATCACTAGTGGCATAACACATTTTGTAACTGTCTTACAGACAGGTTTCATTCAAATGTGCATTTTGTGTGTTTTTGTCATAAATTCATGATTGTGTTCATACATCCATTAAAACCTGTCATATAAAATGTTAAAGAGGGGTAACATTGATGTTTGATTCATATTTACATAATGGTTCATTGTAACGTGGAGTATAATGATTCACATGAGTTCAGATAAGGGTGCGGCCGCGGCATTGTGGGTCAAAACCCACACTGATGCAGTGGAACAACTTACGGCCCCAAAATAACCTTTTTCTACATGCGGTCCTAAAGGCGCACATGGTGACTGTCCTCTATTTGATCATATTGTGTATAATGTTGTTGATGTGTCTTAACATGGACAACATGATATTCAGTAATTTTATTTCATTTTCTCAAATTTCTGTTATGCTAACATGTCGGGGCCTGTATATTTACAAGCTGAGTGGTCTGGAGGACACAGTGTCCATGATTTCCAAAAAGAATTTACAATGTTTATTTGTCAGACCACAGGACACTTTTCCACTTCCCCCCAGTCTATTTTAAATGTTTTCCGGCCCAGAGAAGGTGGCAGCATTTTTGGATCCTGGTTATATAAGGTTTTTTCTTTGCGTTTTAGAGTTTTAACTTGCATTTGTGGATGCAGAGACGAACTGTGTTCACAGACAGTGTTTTTCAGAAATGTCTGAGCCCATGCAGTGATTTTCACTAGAGAATCATGTCTGTTTTTAATGCAGTGCTGCCTGAGAGCCCAAAGATCACGGCCAGCAAATACTGGTTTTTGGCCTTGTCCCTTGCATACAGAGATTGTTCTGGATTCTCTGAATCTTTTAATGTTATTATGTACCGTAGATGTTGAAAAGCAAAAGTTCTTTGATATTTTACATTGAGAAACATTATTCTTGAATTGTTGTACTATTTGATCGTGCAGTCTTAGACAGAGTGGTGAACCTCTCCTCATCTTTACTTCTGAAAGACTCTCTGGGATGCTCCTTTTGTACCCAGTCATGTTATTGACCTGTTGCCAACTAACCACATTTTTCAAAAAACAATAAAATTTCACAGTTTCAACATTTGATATGTTGTCTTTGTACTATGTTCAATGAAATATAGGGTTTAAATGATTTGCACATCATTGCATTTTGTTTTCTGATTTACATTTTGCACAGCACTGTCCTCATTTTGCACAGCGCTGTCCTCAAACAAAATAAACCACACAATGCATGCATGCATAAAATAAGCCCCTCCCCCTCCATGCCTGCTTTATTCTCAAGTACTCAGATACCTAGTTTTGATTGTTGACCAGGAAAAGATCATAAATGAGAGACCCTCAGAAGAGAGCAAGGGGCACACTGGCGATACTGTTATGGATTTTAATATATTAAGTCAGATTTCTCCATATGTAATCATTACACCTTTAATAGATACGGATGGACTGATGGAAAAAGTACGGATCGTGAGAAGAAATTAAAACACAGACATACCTTGGAGCGCTGAACGGGCTTTTCATCTGAGTTGTTTCTGTTGTCCTGGAAACAAACAAGAAAGAGAATCAACTGGGAGGAAAACGGCCTTGTTACCTCGACAACGCAATCTGACAGGTTACCATAAGAATACCATCCTATAATACACCTATAGTCATTGGCTATATCTCACACAAACACACCAATGCTTTAATTTCTTTCTCTCCATCCATCTCCACACCATTCCTTTGCTCTCCACACACACCATCCTCTACACAGTGGCCAACACACCTACTAAGTATTCAGACAGTAGACATTTACAAGGATTATGTTCGGATCTATTTAAACCCAAGACATTAATTGAGACAGTAATACACTGAATATGTACAAAATCATCACTCATATGGTATCATCTGTCCAAAACCCCAACCCTAAATTTACACTTGTGAAAATAATATGTACTTTAAGATATTACTGATTTCCTGAACTGAAATTGAAAAATTATTTTAGCCACACCAAAACATTTTAAAACAGGAAGTGAGACTGCATCCAAGTCCCTCACGGCCAAAGGGTGAGCAGTTAGATCCCATTGTTTTTAAGTAAATGTGTCCGAAAGTCTGAAAATCAGTGTGGAACATTAAGAATTGTCACTACTGAAGCACCTATTTTCTGCAATTAAGTAAACGTTTTGTGTGTTTTAATGAATAAAATATTATGATTTTGTGTGTGTACAGCTGTTCAAAGCTGTGTTTGTTAGTCATGAGCTGGCATTTTGGGTTCAGCTTAAAATGAGCTAAAACTGTCACCCAACGAAACATCCAGTAAGAATTTCATTAGTATTATGATTGTTTTGGTAGTAATAAAGTGGAATGTTCGGTCATTTATTTTAATAAAATAAACAGAATTTTATAAGATATAGGGTCACTCAAAGCAAAAGGATTTTAGCCTGAAGTCCCAGTCAGTTAAAAATCCCAAGATGTTTTTTTCAACTCTTATTCAAGACTCGTCAAACTGCCGGCCTGTCATGGCAACTGACCGGGCAAAAGCCTGCTGGTGGCAGAGAAGGAGAATCGAAAGATAAATGGTATGTCAGACACTACAGGTGCTCCCAAGCGATTCCAAAACAAAGTAGTAGTAATGTCAACCAATCAGCATTCAGTACACTCAAAGATGGTTCTTCAAGGTTTCTTTAGTAAAGAAAAAGGTTCCACAAACTCTCAAAGAACCCTCTGCATGATTAAAGAGTTGTATCATGAAATGGGTCCTCAGATTGGTGGAGAACGTGCTGTAGATGGTTTGAAAAGGGTTCTATATAGCACCCAAAGGATTCTTCTATTGTTACAAGCTTGGGTACTATATAGAACCAATTTTAAAAAGGTTCTATACAGAACAATCTACAGCACATTCTGGCATCCCTTCCATAATGCAAAAACTCTGTAATCATGCAAAGGGTTCTTTAAGTGTTTGTGGTTCTTTATAGAACTTAACTAAAGAACCCTTAAAGAACCATCTTTTTTAAAGAGTGTAGCTGTAATGTTAGCGTCCTACGGCCCCAAACCTGTTTGCTGTAGAAAAAACTACTGATACTAATAAATTTGCTTTTTCCAAATGAAATGCATCAAGGAAGTTTCCAAGTAAGTGGCTAGAAATATGTTTAATTTTTTAATTTTAGTTTTGCTCCCTTCACCTCCATTCATTAAGGACTTGCTTGCAGGTGCCATTTAGCATTTTTTGTACAATGGAAGAAAGAGGAAGTGACCAGGCTTCCCTTAAACTGGCTCTAGTTGGCGGTACAGGACAGCTTGGCCATGCTGGTCTCTCTCTACAGCACCCTGCTCAGAACGCAGCTTGCAGTTGCGTTGCATTATGAATTGCGTCTGAACTTACTCTGTACTGACAAACACTTTTTACCATATTTAATCTAGAAACCTAAGTCTTAATCACTCTATTCAAACACTCCTTCATCCTCTTTATCCCTCCTTCCTTTTTTTGTCTTCCCCCCTCCTGTTGCCTCCATCTGGCTCCACAAACTCATGACGTGGGAACAAGCATCCATTTTCAGCTTACTCGCGCACACACACACACACACACACACACACACACACACACACACACTCTCTAGGCCTACAGCACAGCTCGACACCACTTGGTTAACTATTACATGGTTAAATTTAAATAAAAGAGAGGGTATAATAAACAGTGGGCACAGTCACATCTCCACTACGCACAGTCATAGTTTTGCATAGTGATATCATGATGGCATGATGCCCTTGTGTGTAACGTGTAGGTGAGAACAGGGTGGAGACGAGGTCAGAGAAAACCTGAGACATCTGAAAGATGACACTGAGGTCAGGAAGGGCAGACTATTAGTGAGAAAGTGATACTATTAGCGGTGTCAAAGTTAACACATCAATAACATATTAGGACAAATTATTGGCATTAATTTTTTAATTCCATTAAGGAAGAATTAAATTTTTCAGAATTTCTTACATAGACAAAGATCACAGTTGTCTGATGACCTTGATGTCACAAAAACAACACGTATTACATTCGCCCATTCAGCCTACAGCACTAAGGAGTGTTTCCGCCTGGACCGCTTCTTGAATGAGCCACAATACAGAACAGCCAACATTTAAATTCACCATTCTGAATGATGAGTACGTCACGAGTTGTGCAGATTTCAAGAGTTTTTTTCATTTTAGAAACTGCTCTGTATCACAACATTGGAGCAGAAAAGCATGCATGCGCGCGCGCACACACACACACACACACACACAGCTAATTTTCTTAGGGGGATAGTGGTGTTTATACTAGATTCTCAGAGGCCCTGAAGTGAGCTCCATTAAGAGCGATTGGGCCTCCTGAGGGCGGCACAGGATGGAGGTAATGTTTGCACTGAAATCATCCAGTTCGTAAATATCAGTGACAGTTATCTTAAATAACCAGTGACTCAGTAATGATGCATCTCAAATCAGTCATTAGGGATAGAATTTGACAAAACTAGGGCTGCATGATGAACAAAATAGTGCTATCAGAAATATCTCTCTACATACTGCAGCTGTGACGTGTCTTACTACATATATTAAAAACACACTGGTGAACTGAAAATGTGACTGGACTGCAGTAGTTTGACCATAATCGTTTAGTTTTGCTGGACCACAGGAACACCCTCACAGAAAAGCTCTTCTGGAGCTGCAATCAGTCGAGATGCTCAAAGCACAGTTTCAGTGTCAGCACCCAATGATGTACCCCAACGCATGCATTTATAAAATGTCAGCAACAAAAACAATAGAAGTGTTTTATAATCTAATAAACCACCACACATAAATATAAATTACATGTCAAACTAATTACAGTAGAGCACAGGTGAAAAACATTAAAGTAGAAGCTAAAACGCCCACAGCGCAGATGCCAACGCAAGAGCCTCCTTCAGTTTTGTAATGTCTTCCTGCTGAGGGATCATTAAGCCATCACTGACAAAGCAAAGGGCATAAAAGTCACACAGAAAGTTCAGAAGATTCAGGAAGAAAGGCAGTGCTGTAAGAAACAATGCTCAAAGTTTAGCCCTGAGTGTGTCCTGCAAAGCCAAATAAAAAACAAACCCTCATATATCTGTATTGACTGTCAGACACTTTCCGCACTGCCACATGTTTTCACAGATAAAGAACACTTCTTGGTTTTGAAAGGAAACAGCCCCAGCTAACAATCTGCAGTGGTGTTAAACCTTCTCATGCAAGGCTGAGGGTTGCATGCGCTCGTTTCCTCACACTACAGACTTACACAAGACCAGCCATTAGAGATCTGACCAGTGCTCTCCACACAAACCCTCCGCAGTCCCAGATACACGAGCCTAACACCGCTAGTGCAACAGTTAGTAAAGCTGAAGAGATGTTCTATGATACATACACAAGGTCAGGCACATCGTTTGTCCCCTGAGGTACAAACGATGTCAATATACCCTCAAAAAGGACGTCATGGTCCTTCAAGTCCAATTTTAACCTTAAAAGGTACACGACAGTTACCAGGAGACAGACACGTTTTGTAGCTTTTCATAACTTTTTATCATAGAAAAAAAATCAGTAAAAAGTGAGACAGGATATGCAGAGTTAACACAACTTCAACAAAATATAACTGCAATGAAATGTAGTTCACTCTCAGAGGTAAAGGTAGCAAACTGCCACTGAGGCAGGACCCCTCTTGTCCTTGGGGTGGTACCCTCAAGTGTACTCTCAGTACCTGGAAAAACGTATTTAAGCCTCACAATCAGACCTTAAAGCCACTGTTGTACATTTGAGGGAACATTTACATTGATGGAAAAAAAATATATATATAATAATAATAATAATAATAATAATAATAATAATAATATTGCACCAGCACAGAACCTTTATCTTTAACACTGTACACTTATGTTCCCTAGCTAAGAGCCTGTGTTATCATATCTGGATACTTTGGCCAGTTTCCATTTACACTTCTCACCGACTCCAGTGTGATCAGAAGAGAAAAGACTTTATTTTCCCCATGTAAAAAGCACATGAACGCATGTGTCATCCCCCGTCATGATACAAGTCACAAAGCCTGGCATGGACACTTATCAGCCCAGCAGGCAAGAAGGCTCTCGGTTTCGGGAGAACTCCAGCCTTCTTTGTTTATCGTCTCACCTGCTAGTTGGTGCCTGGCAGGTGCATTTCTGCTCACATAATAGTTTACAGACAATGAAAACGCATTCCGTTTACACTGTTAAACGTGGTCGAGATCCGTCTCTTACAACCTCCGGATGTGGTTTGAGTGATCCGTCCTGGGTGTGTTTCACACCTTGCTTTTCATGTGATCAGGTGAAATCCCAGAATGTGAGATGATCACTAAAAAAATGCACGTTGATGCAATGTGTAAAGAGGCTCTAGAGGTACTGAAAACATACCCTTTAGGGCATCACTAGGCCCGTCACATTTATTACATAACAAATTACAACAAACTCAAATGTGAATAGGGTAAAACTATTTTATATAAAACAATAACAACAACAATAATAATGTTCTATCTTGATGCCCCAATATGTTTAGAAA